AAAAAAAAACTTTAAAAAAAGATATAAAAAGCACTTAGTCAATTAGTTTCAGAGTTAAACTTACAAAATAAAAGAAAAAAAGTATTACAAAAATTTTTAAAAGTTTTTTTTCAAACTAGTTTAGTCTGCATTTTAGACTACGTTGGTCGCTGCAACATTTTCTGTAATTGATATGTTTCTTGTTCAATAGAGTTGTATCATTTTTTTGTACAAATCCTTCAAATATTTTCTGTTTTTCAGCAAATACAAGAAAAAAAAAAAAAACGAAATACTAGCTATTTTAATTCCTGATTTTGTAGAACTTAAACTTTAGAACTACCCAAAAAGATATCAGTCTACCATAAATTTTAATCATTTGTCAGTGCTTGTCTTAAAATACTGATAGCATTATTCTTTATAATTTGTACAGAATGCAGGTTACCAATGTAATTTATAAAATATTCATTAAACAAGCAGATGCAATTTACACCGTCGAGTAAAGGCTCAGTTTTTCTTACAAGAAAAATAACTTTTCAATATAGCTAAAATCACTTTTAATGCATGCCATAGCTGTATTTACTACAAAATACAAGGTGTATTTGTATTGTTTCTGTTTCATTTCCAAAAGTTTTTATTTTGTAATAAATCAAATAGAATAATGGAAACTAACAAACGTCAAAGTTTAACAAAAAACAAAAAAAAAAAAATGCTGTTTGGCAAAACTGTAATTACTTTTTGTGCAGAAAAAAAAAAAAAAAAACCAAAAACTTGAAATGAAAAGCAATAAAGTGGAAAAAAAGAGGCGAAACATGACAGTTGCGATAAAAATGCTGAAACAAATGAAGTTTGGTGGTAAAATAGTGCGAAATTTTCCGAAAACTTTTGAAAAACATTTAGAAACTTAAAAGAAATTTTAAAGCTCAGAAAACTTTAAAAACTTCAAACTTTAAAAAGCTGTTTTTAAAACCCAATAATTTTTGTACTTAAAAAGATGACAGTTAAATTTATTTTTGTTTTTTTTGCAAAAGATTTCTTATTCCATTTAAAGATTGACAAGCACTGAATGCTCTTTTTTTTTCTGATTCTGTAACTGATCTTATGTTTTCCATTATGCAGCAGTCTATGAAAAACTGTCATAAATACTGTTTAGAAGTATTAAATTTTTTTATGCTCTTTCTTATTGCCTTTAATAATTTTTATAATTACAATAAGTTAAGAAACGGCATAGAAAGGAGACAATAAAACCATAAAACTTTTGTTTATTTGAATGTTACTTGAGAAAAAGCAATAAAGTTTGCTCAGAAATGTAATAAATTAAGTAAAAAATAATAGTTATTATAATAAATGTTATTTTTTTTTTTTTGAACAGTCGTACAGTAAAAAATTTGTTGCCTTTGTTATCACGGTTTTCTATTCTTCTTCTTACTCTTTTCTCAAGCAAAGGAAACTTTGTATTAAATTGTAGCTGAAAAAACTGTTTTGCTTTCCCACCAACTCTGAACAGATGAAATAGATCCTGTGGAAGGAAAAACTGAGAAGAAACTATAAATTACAATGTACGAACAATCAGAAAATATCGTGTGTCTGCAAAAAAGCCAACAATTATATCGCTGTAAAGGAGCTTATGTCTTTGTCTACCATAACTTATTTAAAGAGTAAACTTCCTATTGGTCTTACCAGACTTCTTTATTATCTTATCGTTCCTTTTACAGTACTTGTATGTAGAAGTTCTTGAATGAAGTACGTAGAGAGACTTATATCCTCTTCTACGGTAACTTAATTAAAATACGTAATTCTTATCAGTTCTACTAAACCTTATACGCTATGTAGAAAAACTTATTTCTTGGCCTACAGTTACTTATTTAAAAGCGCAATTCTTCTTATTGATTCTGCTTTACCTCCCTTCAATAGACTACTTTTTTACTGGTACAAGACAATCTGCTAGGATACAAATCAAAATGGGACAACTTTGAATCAACAATGAAAAAAATCAACAAATTAAAAACGCAACAGAAGATTGAAAGTAAGAAAATTGAAATTGTATTCTCCACACAAATAGGGTCCAATTCCAAAACTTTCATTTTCCAAATAAATTCATATTATATCTCTTCTCCTTTTCCAGATTTACTTCCCTCCAAAATAAGAAATTTTTTTATTTTAACACAATGTTAAAAGACCTAATTTGAGTGATAATTATAGGCAATGTCTTTCTGACACTGTAATTTTAATGTTAAGATTTGTCTCATTGATGTGTGAAATGTCTACGATAGTGTGAATTACTTAATTGCAGTATTAGCTGCAAAACTCTACCAGAGCTAATAAAGTCCAAAACAGGAGAAGAGTATCAAAATACAATAATGATAAATTCAATTTAGAAACTCAAAAATTGTAAAAATTCTTCCAGTAAAGCAGTAGGCATCATTTCCTCCAAAATCTCAATAAAATTCTTCCATAGCTCTGATTGACACGAAGTCATTTTGCTTCCAATAATGATAATCTCTTCTCGAGCTCTAGTTAGTGCCACTATCATTCGCGATCGATCTGTAAAAAAAGTTGCATTTGTAATTTGGTTCGTAATTCTGGTCCTTGTTGTGACTAGAATTATTAGGTCGCTCTCCTTTCCCAAAATAAGATTCAACAGTATAAACTGGAATAGATACATCAAGTTTTTGAATATATTGAACGGTAGATTTGTAGTAACATAATATAACGATCTTTCCTTGGATGACTGGTTGGAGAACGTTAAAGATTTCAATCGTTGCTTTGACTTGGTCACGATTTGTCCAACTATGAATTGAACTTCGTTCTTCAGTTCTCATAACATCTAAGAATAAAACTGAAGGATTATTGAATGATTCTGAAAATCGTAAATTTTTCCACATTACTCTATCTGTCGAATTTAATGCTGAACGTAATTGGTTATCAAAGAAAACGTCGAACTCTCAATTCTCTGTGAGAATATCTTTAGGCATACAAAAAGTACTGTAAAATTATAGTACAGATTTTAAGTTTTTTATTCTAACTAAATGCTACCAACAATCACAATTATTTTACTGATGTTATAACTTTTTGATATAAATGACAGAACAGCAAAAAAATTCTTACTTTAACAGTAAATGTCGATTACTTGCTATTGCCTAGTGGAATTTAGCGTTTTGCGTACTGTAATTAAATTTTGTTGCAAGAAAAATTAGAAAATTAGGTAAAACAAAATAAACTGTCTTTTAAATTTGTAGAAATAAAAATTCTAGACCTGTACTAATAATTATGAATAATTTGAATAAAATTTTTGTCTATGATTTTTTGCAAAGTCGGATACTAGTCAAGCCTTTTTACGACGTCTGAAACGTTAGTGACGCTATATAAAACAAGCTAATATTTTTAACCGTGTAATTTCCAATTGCTTCACTTTAAGTTCTGTTTAGAACTATCACAGTTACAGTTTTGAACCAGTTTTGGAATTTGTTGACCTTTTCTATGCAGCCGGCA